CCTCATCCTCCCCCCCATCCACCCCCAGAACCCCCCATATCAGCCCGGGGGGGTGCCCCCATTCCCGCCCCGTCTCCGTGCCCCATAGGGAAGAGGATCTCCTGGACCAGGCGCCGCTGCTGCAGGAGAACTCCCGGCTCGGCTGCCAGCTCCTCCTGGCCCCGGCGCTCGAGGGCGCTCGCTTCACGCTCCCCCGCCTCACCCGCAACTTCTACGTGGATGGGCACGTCCCGAAGCCCCATTGACAGCGGGGGGGGGGTACCCCATAAACACCCCCCCTATGGATGGACACCACCCCCCCCCATGGATGGACCCCCCCATTGATGGACACCACCCCCCCATGGATGGACCCGCCCCCCCCATGGATGGACACCACCCCCCATGGATGGACACCACCCCCCCATGGATGGACACCACCCCCTCCATGGATGGACACCCCCCCCATTGATGGACCCCCCCCCCCTGGATGGACCCCCCCCCATGGATGGACCCCCCCATTGATGGAAACCACCCCCCCCATGGATGGACACCCCCCCATGGATGGACCCCCCCCCCCATTGATGGAAACCACCCCCCCCATGGATGGACCCCCCCCCCATGGATGGACACCCCCCCATGGATGGAAACCACCCCCCCCATGGATGGACACCCCCATGGATGGACCCCCCCCATGGATGGACACCCCTCCCCCCAATTGATGGAAACCACCCCCCCCATGGATGGACCCCCCCCATTGATGGACCCCACCCCCATGGATGGACACCACCCCCCCAATTGATGGAAACCACCCCCCCCATGGATGGACACCCCCATGGATGGACCCACCCCCCATGGATGGACACCCCTCCCCCCAATTGATGGAAACCACCCCCCCCCATGGACCCCCCCCCCCCCCATGGATGGACCAAGCTGGATACGGCCCCATTGGGATGCTGGAGATGGGGGGGGGCTGTTGGTTTCGTTCCCCCCCCCGTTTGGGATCACGGATAATAAACCCCATTGGGATGCTGGAGATGGGGGGGGGGCTGTTGGGGTCGTTCCCCCCCCCCGTTTGGGATCATGGATAATAAACCCCATTGGGATGCTGGATATGCGGGGGGGGCTGTTGGGGTCGTGTCCCCCCCCCTTTGGGATCATGGATAATAAACCCCATTGGGATGCTGGAGATGGGGGGGGCTGTTGGGGTCTGTTCCCCCCCCCCCCTTTGGGATCATGGATAATAAACCCCATTGGGATGCTGGAGATGGGAGTGGGCTGTTGGGGTCGTTCCCCCCCCCCGTTTGGGATCATGGGTAATAAACCCCATTGGGATGCTGGAGATGGGGGGGGGCTGTTGGGGTCGTGCCCCCCCCCCCCCCCGTTTGGGATCATGGGTAATAAACCCCATTGGGATGCTGGAGATGGGGGGGGGCTGTTGGGGTCGTGTCCCCCCCCCCGTTTGGGATCATGGATAATAAACCCCATTGGGATGCTGGAGATGGGGGGGGGCTGTTGGGGTCGTGTCCCCCCCCCCGTTTGGGATCATGGATAATAAACCCCATTGGGATGCTGGAGATGGGGGGGGGGCTGTTGGGGTCGTTCCCCCCCCCCGTTTGGGATCATGGATAATAAACCCCATTGGGATGCTGGAGATGGGGGGGGGCTGTTGGGGTCGTTCCCCCCCCCCCCTTTGGGATCATGGATAATAAACCCCATTGGGATGCTGGAGAGGGGCTGTTGGGCTGTCCCCCCCCCGTTTGGGATCATGGGTAATAAACCCCATTGGGATGCTGGAGATGGGGGGGGGCTGTTGGTTTCGTTCCCCCCCCCCGTTTGGGATCATGGATAATAAACCCCATTGGGATGCTGGAGATGGGGGGGGGCTGTTGGGGTCGTTCCCCCCCCCCGTTTGGGATCATGGATAATAAACCCCATTGGGATGCTGGTGAGGGGGGGGGGGTGTGGGGGTCGTGCCCCCCCCCCCCGTTTGGGATCATGGATAATAAACCCCATTGGGATGCTGGAGATGGAGGGGGGGGCTGTTGGGGTCGTTCCCCCCCCCCCCCCCGTTTGGGATCATGGATAATAAACCCCATTGGGATGCTGGATATGAGGGGGGGGCTGTTGGGGTCGTTCCCCCCCCCGTTTGGGATCATGGATAATAAACCCCATTGGGGGCTCGCTGTGGGGTTCGGGTTCTTTACCCGCTGTAGAAGGGGGGGGCCCCGTGCCCCATCCCAGCTCCCTCCGTACCGGGGGGCCCGGGGGGGGGGGGTCCCGCCCCCTCGCAGCTGGAGCCCATTTAACGGGGCCGGGCCGGGGCTGAGCCGGGCCATGGAGCCGCTGTTCCTGGAGGGGCAGAGCCCGGACTTCTCCGTGCTCCAGCGGCTGCTGTGCCTCGAACCGGGACCGGAACCGGGAACCGGACCTGAACCGGGACCGGGAACCGGGACCCGACCCCGACCCCGATCCCGGACCCGCGGTGGAAGCGGCTGCCCACGGGTGGGAACGGGAGCACCGGGAGGGTCCCATTGAGAGGGAACGGGAGCACCGGGAGGGAACGGGAGCACCGGGAGGATCTCATTGAGAGGGAACGGGAGCACCGGGAGGGTCCCCTTGGAAAGGAACCGGGAGCACCGGGAGGGCCCCATGGGGAGGGATCCGGTAGCAGAGGGAAGGTCCCATCGGGAGGGATCTGGGAGCACCGGGAGGGTCCCATTGGGAAGGAATCGGGAGCACCGGGAGGGAACGGGAGCACCGGGAAAGTCCCATTGAGAGGGAACGGGAGCACCGGGAGCACCGGGAGGGAACGGGAGCACCGGGAGGGTCCCCTTGGAAAGGAACCGGGAGCACCGGGAGGGAACGGGAGCACCGGGAAAGTCCCATTGAGAGGGAACGGGAGCACCGGGAGGGAACGGGAGCATCGGGAGGGAACGGGAGCACCGGGAGGGAACGGGAGCACCGGGAGGGTCCCCTTGGAAAGGAACCGGGAGCACCGGGAGGGAATGGGAGCACCGGGAGGATCCCATTGAGAGGGAACGGGAGCACCGGGAGGGTCCCATGGGGAGGGATCCGGTAGCAGAGGGAAGGTCCCAGCGGGAGGGAACGGGAGCACCGGGAGGGAACGGGAGCACCGGGAGGGTCCCCTTGGAAAGGAACCGGGAGCACCGGGAGGGAATGGGAGCACCGGGAGGATCCCATTGAGAGGGAACGGGAGCACCGGGAGGGTCCCATGGGGAGGGATCCGGTAGCAGAGGGAAGGTCCCAGCGGGAGGGATCTGGGAGCACCGGGAGGGTCCTATTGAGAGGGAACGGGAGCACCGGGAGGGCCCCATCGGGAAGGAACCGGGAGCACCGGGAAGGTCCCATTGGGAAGGAACCGGGAGGGCCCCATTGGGAAGGAGCCGGTAGCAAAGGGAAGGTCCCATCGGGAAGGAATCGGGAGCACCGGGAGGGTCCCATCGGGAAGGATCCGGTAGCAAAGGGAAGGTCCCATCGGGAGGGATCCGGTAGCAAAGGGAAGGTCCCATCGGGAGGGATCCGGTAGCAAAGGGAAGGTCCCATCGGGAAGGAGCCGGTAGCAAAGGGAAGGTCCCATCGGGAAGGAATCGGGAGCACCAGGAGGGCCCCATCGGGAAGGAGCCGGTAGCAAAGGGAAGGTCCCATTGGGAAGGAACCGGGAGCACCGGGAGGGTCCCATTGGGAAGGAGCCGGGAGCAAAGGGAAGGTCCCATCGGGAAGGAACCGGGAGGGTCCCATCGGGAAGGAGCCGGTAGCAAAGGGAAGGTCCCATCGGGAGGGATCCGGTAGCAAAGGGAAGGTCCCATCGGGAGGGATCCGGTAGCAAAGGGAAGGTCCCATCGGGAAGGATCCGGTAGCAAAGGGAAGGTCCCATCGGGAAGGATCCGGTAGCAAAGGGAAGGTCCCATCGGGAAGGAGCCGGTAGCAAAGGGAAGGTCCCATCGGGAGGGATCCGGTAGCAAAGGGAAGGTCCCATCGGGAAGGAGCCGGTAGCAAAGGGAAGGTCCCATCGGGAGGGATCTGGGAGCAAAGGGAAGGTCCCATTGGGAAGGATCCGGTAGCAAAGGGAAGGTCCCATTGGGAAGGAACCGGGAGGGAACGGGAGCACCGGGAAGGTCCCCTTGGGAAGGAGCCGGTAGCAAAGGGAAGGTCCCATCGGGAAGGAATCGGGAGCACCGGGAGGGTCCCATTGAGAGGGAACGGGAGCACCGGGAGGGTCCCATTGGGAAGGATCCGGTAGCAAAGGGAAGGTCCCATCGGGAAGGATCCGGTAGCAAAGGGCAGGTCCCATCGGGAGGGATCCGGTAGCAAAGGGAAGGTCCCATCGGGAAGGATCCGGTAGCAAAGGGAAGGTCCCATCGGGAAGGATCCGGTAGCAAAGGGAAGGTCCCATTGGGAGGGATCCGGTAGCAAAGGGAAGGTCCCATCGGGAGGGATCCGGTAGCAAAGGGAAGGTCCCATCGGGAGGGAACCGGGAGCACCGGGAAGGTCCCATTGGGAAGGAACGGGAGCAAAGGGAAGGTCCCATTGGGAGGGAACGGGAGCACCGGGAAGGTCCCCTTGGGAAGGAGCCGGTAGCAAAGGGCAGGTCCCATCGGGAGGGATCCGGTAGCAAAGGGCAGGTCCCATCGGGAGGGATCCAAGAGCCCCGCGCCTGTCCCATGGGGAGTTAACGGGAGCACCCATCGGAAGGGATCCGGTACCACGGGGGTTCCAATGCCCCATTGCGGGGGGGGGGGGGGCACCGGTCACGGCTCAGCCCCATGGGGCGAAGCAATGGGTTTAACCCCCCCCCCCCCAACAGCGTCCCCGGGGGCAGCAGCGGGGGGGCCCTGGAGCCGCCCCCCCCCCATCCCCATCCGCGGAGCCCCGGGGGGGGTCTCACGTTCCTGCAGGAAACCGTGCGGCTCCTGCCCCCCCCCCGCCCCCCCCCGCGCCCCCCCCGCGCCCCCCCGGCCCCCCCCGAGCAGCGCCGCGCGGTCCCGGTGCCCCCCCCCCCCCCGCAGCCCGGATGCTCTGAGCCTCATCAGCCTCCAGTGCCAGCGCTTGGCCGGGAGCCGCGGCCCCGGCAGGCGCAAACAGGCGGCCCCGCAGCGGGGGGCCGGGCCCGGGGACCCCCGGTTCCGGGGGGTGACGCTGAGGATGCGCCTGGACCTGCGGAGCAGCAGCGCCGAGGGCTGCGGGCTCCTCATCACCGCCCGCGGCAGCAGGTACCGGGCATCCGGATGCGCCCGGGGCCGGCTCCGGACCCGGTGTCCGAAGGGGTTTCCGTGTGTCCGGATGCGCCTTTGGGTACCCCCCGGACCCCCTGGATCCCGTCTGCATCTTTGGGTGCCCCCTGGAGCACCCGGACCCCCTCTGCACTTTTGGGTGCCCCCCGGACCCCGTCTGCGCCTTTGGGTACCCCCTGGATCCCGTCTGCACCTTTGGGTACCCCCTGGATCCCATCTGCATCTTTGGGTGCCCCCCGGACCCCGTCTGCACCTTTGGGTGCCCCTTGGACCACCCGGACCCCGTCTGCACCTTTGGGTGCCCCTTGGACCACCCGGACCCCATCTGCATCTTTGGGTGCCCCCTGGATCCCATCTGCATCTTTGGGTGCCCCCTGGATCCCGTCTGCACCTTTGGGTACCCCCTGGATCCCGTCTGCATCTTTGGGTGCCCCCTGGAGCCCATCTGCACCTTTGGGTACCCCCTGGACCACCCGGACCCCGTCTGCACCTTTGGGTACCCCCTGGATCCCGTCTGCACCTTTGGGTACCCCCTGGATCCCGTCTGCATCTTTGGGTACCCCCTGGATCCCGTCTGCACCTTTGGGTACCCCCTGGATCCCGTCTGCACCTTTGGGTACCCCCTGGATCCCGTCTGCACCTTTGGGTACCCCCTGGATCCCGTCTGCACCTTTGGGTACCCCCTGGATCCCGTCTGCACCTTTGGGTGCCCCTGGATCCCGTCTGCATCTTTGGGTGCCCCTTGGACCACCCGGATCCCGTCTGCACCTTTGGGTACCCCCTGGACCCCGTCTGCACCTTTGGGTACCCCCGGACCCCCTGGATCCCGTCTGCATCTTTGGGTACCCCCGGACCCCCTCTGCACCTTTGTGTCCCCCCGGGGCCCTGCCTTCTCTTCCCCCTTCCCCAATGGTCCCTATTGGAGGGTCCCCATCCCGGATGGAGGCTTTGGGGTCCCCCCCACCCTGACCCCCGCTTCCCGCAGGGCTCCCAAGCGGAGCAGCCCCGAGGCCGGGGGGAGCGGCTCGGAGAGGAGCGGTCCCGTTGGTGCCGGTGAGGCTCGGGGGGGGTCCGGGCACGGGGGGGGTTGGGATGGGGGGGTTGGGATGGGGGGGGTCGGGATGGGGGGGTTGGGATGGGACGGGATGGGGTGGGTCGGGATGGGGGGGTCCGGGTACGGATGGGGTTGGGATGGGGGGTTGGGATGGGGGGGTTGGGATGGGGGGTTCCGGATACGGATGGGGTTGGGATGGGGGGGTTCGGGTACGGATGGGGCTGGGATAGGGGGGGTTCGGTGGGGGGGGGGTGTGGGATGGATGGGGTTGGGATGGGGGGGTTGGGATGGGGGGGTTGGGATGGATGGGGTTGGGATGGGGGGGTTGGGATGGGGGGGTCCGGGCACGGATGGGGTTTGGGATAGGGGGGGGTTGGGGTGGATGGGGTTGGGTTGGGGGGGTTGGGGTGGATGGGGTTGGGATGGGGGGGTCCCGGCACGGATGGGGTTGGGATGGGGGGGTTGGGATGGATGGGGTTGGGATGGATGGGGTAGGGTTGGGGGGGTTGGGATGGATGGGGTTGGATTGGGGGGGGGTTGGGATGGGGGGGCCCCGGCATGGGGTTGGGATGGGGGGGGTTGGGGTGGATGGGTTTGGGATGGGGGGGTCCCGGCACGGATGGGGTTGGGATGGGGGGGTTGGGATGGGGGGGTTGGGATGGATGGGGTTGGATTGGGGGGGGGGTTGGGATGGGGGGGCCCCGGCACGGATGGGGTTTGGGATGGGGGGGTTGGGATGGATGGGGTTGGATTGGGGGGGGGTTGGGATGGGGGGGCCCCGGCAGGGATGGGGTCGGGGCTCAAGGTGCGGGTCCCCCATAGGGAGCAAGCGCTGCGCCTCCTGCGGGACGCGGAGGACCCGGCTCTGGAGGGCGGCGGAGGACGGGACCCCGCTGTGCAACGCCTGCGGCATCCGGTGGGGAGGGGATGGGGATGGGGAGGGATGGGGATGGGGATGGGATGGGATTGGGATGGGAACGGGGGTGGGGATGGGGTGAGGTGGGGATGGGATGGGATAGGGGATGGGGATGATGATGGGATGGGGATGGGGATGGGGATGGGGATGATGATGGGATGGGATTGGGATGGGATGGGATTGGGATGGGGTGAGG